TCTCTTAAATATTAATTGTGTGTGCATACCATCATAAAATTAAGATGTTATTTTTACTACAACGTACGTATAGTGTCGGAAAAAGTGGAGTTTGGGGTTGGCCCAGTCTCTATTTCAATTAATCCCATATGTTCTGTTATTTCGTTTACGCGTTTCTCGTTTATCGCAGACCGCCACGGGTTCAATTGACCGCGTAAATGCAGACTATACTGTATAGAAAAATATGTGGTGAAAGTTGCTGTCTGAGATGTAGGAATGCATCCCATATGATAACTGGGGTATTCCTGTACAGTGCTTTTTTTTATATTAAGGGATACACCAAATAGTAAAATCTATTCTCTGGCTGGGTACCGGATATGTTGGACAACATATGTTGGATAACAGAGTTTGTGTTGATTTCTATATAAATAGGCTAGGCTAATGGGAAAGCCTACACCTGCACTCCCAGGGGGAGTCTGGGCCTCCCCCTTTTTCCTCAGAAAATTCCATTTTTGTATTTAGTAAAAGGTAATTACTATTGACCTTAGAATATCTCTTAATATCATGTGCACATGGCTTAAAAATGGCCTCAAAATGCCCATGATATTGGCCAGATTTCAAAAAAAATTCTGGGGGGGAGTTACAGTACCCCCCAGCTGGGTGGGCTCACTGTGCTTTTTATGTCCCCCCACCCACAACTCCGTGGAATCCTCCCCCATGTGATATTCCTGGATCTGCCCCTGACTTTTACAATTGTCTGGTACCTTAAAAAGATTCCACTTTCATGACCATCCATCATCTCTCCTTATTTATATTTTTGTCCATGAAGAATTCTAGTTTTCAATAAATATTATACTATTGTAATGGGGTGTATTTTCTACTGCACAAGACTATGTACATGTATTTTATTTATTTACTGAATGAACACTGCTGATTACTCCTCACAAGATCAATACAGGTATCCCCGATTTACGATCTCCCTATCTATGATATTTCGCTTGAATGATGGTGATGTATTAAGACCACCACCCCTATTTACAATAAAAAGATTCTCTGAACGATGGATCATTGTCAGGCCAAAATCGCTGATGTGTGGAATATGGAACGTATCACTCGCTGCACTTATCAGCTGCGGTCTACCTGGCCACCCAGTACACTACAGTCCCAAGCTTTGTTCCATGGTGATCGCACATGCCCTTGAGCGTGTAGCTCAAGGATTATCAGTCAGTATCGGTGTTGTTACTTATCTTTTTTTACAATAAGAGGACATCACTAACATCAACATTGTACTGTACTGTACTCTGTTTTGGCGACTGTGAAATGATTTTTCCTAATTTTTGTGAATGTAAAATTAGATTTGTAAAGTAGCTAAATATATTCACTTGAGTACTGTACTCGAGTAACATTTTTGGGTACAGTACGCCCGGATAATTATGGATTTTTATTTCGCGGTCCTCTATTACGTGGATGACACCCTGGATGTACCCAAGAAGGTCTGCAGGTAGTTTTAAAGTTGCCGGCATTTTTGCAGTTGGGACAGGGAGCCATTCGTTCTAGAGACACTAATTTCCTTTACCTGTATTGTTTACATGTGTGTGTATTTGCTATTTTCGGACTTTTGCATCTTTCGGACTGGGGTCTGCCCCAATTAGTCCAATTTATCGAGGTTTTACTGTACCTGTAGTTCACTTAATCGAGTTAAAAAATTATTGAAAAAATTTATTCTGCTGAATCAGAAGTACGTTATTATGGATTCCGTTAAATTGAGAGTATACTATACTTTAACTTTTACTTAAGTATGGTTTTCTAGTAGTTTTACTCCAATATACGTAATTGGAAAAAACAAAAATGGTTACTCATTACTTGCAAATGAATAATATATATTTAATTAATTAATTAATTATTTATTATCCATAATAAAAGAGCTGTGTGGGTGTAGGGTATAGTGTGTGTGGAGCCGTGAAGGGTACTGTGTGTGTGATGGGAGACACACGCAGTTATATACTTCGAGGTCTGGTGAGGTGACGTGAGGTCAGGTCAAGTGGCAGTGGCCATGGCAGTGGACTTCCCTTTAATCTTCTTGTGTCCATAGCACCTTGACCACCCAACTCTCCTCGCCTACCGTCCTATCCCCCCCTCCCCCCCTCCCCCATCAAATCCCCTCTTTTCTCCCTCACCTTTCCTTCAGGGGCCTGGTCTTCCCTTAAGACGTCAGTTGCTTTTTGTATATACAGTACAATACCTGTACCTAAAATGAATTTCAAAGAGGTTATGATTCTAAAATGCTTTACATAATTCCACTGAGATATAAAGCCTGTATCTATAGATGTGTGTGAAACTGAAGTGTATTTAAAATTCTGCTTAAATAACTGAAGTAACCCCCACCCACACACTTAGTAGCTACGTGGCATACCCAGGGGATGGAATGGAGTTAGTGAGGCTATCCCAACATTATGTGACCTATCTCTCTAGCTTAACACCCCACTACCTGCAACTGTTGTGTGTGAGCTTCTGTTTAGTCATGTTGGGCTTATTATTTATTATTTAAATAAGTTGTTACACCCCAGGGGGCGACAAGCCAAGTCACAAGACTATGTGGTCATACACTAATACATTGGTACTCGTGTCTCGCAGGACTTGTGATATTGAGACAATATTGATATGATTTAAGGACAGTGGGAGTTAGCACCCACCAAAGCGTGGGTGGCGTACAAGAATTAAAACTAATTTATTACAAATAAGTAGGTGGTTAGTGACTCTCCCTGTCGTAGGAGGTCCCTGACAGTGGGACAGTCAAGGTAATAGTGTTGAAATGGTGTTCGAGTTGGGACAGTTACAGAGATTACAGGAAGAGAAGTAGGAGTCATCCCCCACCTCAGATACTTGCCAGATAGGTCTGTTTCCTCACCTAATGCGATCAAAGACAACATTATGTCTGTGGACCATAAGTCCACGTCGACAATACTTGTGTGAATAAGGAAGAAGGTGATCATAGCGTTGGATGGATATACTCTCAGCCCGTTCACCAGCCCTGCGACGGATTGTAGGGAGAAGAGCGGCTGAACCTATTGTTTTTCAGTAGGTCATGCTGGGCTTTTATTTAAATCTGAAAGATCCTGATTGGACAGCCATAATTCTGAGAATCAAGTTATTGATTAATCTCAATAGAAAAATTTGCAAATAAACATGAGTAATGCTATGTGTGTTATTTTTATTTTTAGTTAACTAAATTTTTATACAAATTTACTATGAATTTATTTTAATATTTGAAACAAAATTTTTTGGGCTACTTTTTACTTTCAGTACTTGAGTACTTTATGAATTGAGATATTTTTTTTTTTACTTCTACATAAGTACATTGAACTTTGGATACTTTTACTTCTACTTGAGTAACATTTTGCCAATGTAACAATACTTTTACTTAAGTAACAAAGTCCAGTACTTTTTACAACTGCGTAAAGTGAACAGTGTCAGCCGCTATCATTGTTTTTGTGTTATCATCAATCGTTCTGCTTTTTGTGACTGAAGTGGTGAGCAGTGTGACTTTGAATATGTGTGGGAAGGCCAAGGCACCCAGGAAAACCATGTCTCTGGAGGTGAAGCTTGACAATGTGAAGCTGTGTGGGAGTCAGAGTGACTTCTCCTTAGCCTCAGAAGGGCCATATGATCACGACCAGGCATGTTCTTAATGCTGTGGTGAGTGTTGTTTAATTGTGTTTTATGTGTATTATTATTTTAGGAATTTTATTTTCGGTGATACCTATGGGTGTCGGACTGACTGAGAACGTATTCCTTTGAACCTCATGTTATAATGATCGCAATTTATGATATTTTGACCTGCGATGGATTTTCAGGAATGCTACCCCATCGTAAATAGGGGGATACCTGTACTGTGTCATTACTAGTGAACACACAGTGATTAGGACAGACAATTTACCCCTGAATGTAAATATGACATGGATACACTTCCTACTACAGTAGTTCGTTCTAGGATCTGGATTACTGCTCATACATGACAGACTTACTTGTACCCTGTAAGGACATGCCGAGCCTACCTCATGGCTGGGAAGAGAGGTCCTCCTCCCTTCTGGGTCAAGACTCATGCCTAAGTGTGGATGCATGGAGTCTGAGCTGAGTATAATAATAATAATAATAATAATTAACGGTTTATTGAAAGAGCATGGTAGCAGGAAGGCTGAAAATATACAATTACATAATTGGGGAATGGGTCTCTTGATTTACAAATGATGTACAAGTAACATAAGTGATACAAATATGATATATAATAATTAGGTGTTGATAATTTTTACAATGGTTGGGACTGGGCTGTTCTTGTAGCAATCAATTCGTGCTCGTATGGGCTGGATGCGGTTGGGCAGGTGTGTGGCCATGTGGCCAGGACAGTAGCTTGGGGCAATGCAGGTGTGCTCCATCCTTCAGGTTAGGTCAGGTTAGGTACGGGGAGTGGCGTTACGCAGCACCTGACAGATTCCCGTCTGTATTTTCCTCTCAAAATATTTACAGTACTTACACGCTGAGTAAGTGCTAGGCACGTGGACATGAAAAATCACTTGTCCAGCCCCTAGTCCAGTCTGCTGGGCACTGCTTATCTGCATAGCCTGGATTGTATTAAACTACACTTCCAAATTGGAAAAAAAAGTGGTTACAGATTTTATGATGTTGGCTTACCTGTATACGTACTGTATAATGAGGTTAAAGTATTATGGAGGTACAGAGTACTGAGAAAATGCCTTAGCGGACTGTGGGAGTGTATTAGAGTGTTCGTTTTCAGAATGATTCAGAGGGGATATGGAGTAAAGTTGGTAGGCATGTATAGCAAGGGCCAGTGCAATTGAATTAATTTTTACATTTTCAGTGATTGAGATAAAATATTAAAATAGTATATCAAGGAGGGATCCTCTGACACTCCCTGCTGAGTCATAAACTAATTAAATCACTTAATATAAACACACCTCTGTATTGTTCTTGTGTCTGAATTTAAGAACCTTTTCAATTTGTAGGTGGAGCTGCAGCAATGGCTGGAAGTGCTGTGATTGGTGGAATGTTACTGGCCATGATTGAAGGTGTGGGCATCCTGCTTACACGCTTTACCTCTGAGCAGTTCAAGCCCATAGCCCCAGGAGAAATGGGTGACCCATCGGTCTTAGGTCCTCCTCAACCCATGACCTTAAACCCAGAAGCAAATTACCAATAAATGTGTTAACTTACACCATCTCTATCAGATATGCTTAGAATTTAAGTAAGACAGATGACTTTTATGCTCCTGATAAAAGGCACTTGGAGGGGGGGCATTGATGAATACACCAATTTTTTTTAAATAGATTACCGGTATCACCGGTAATAATTTATTTACATAACCTTAAAATATAATAAATTTCCTATTTTTTGACACTGGTTTCATCATAATTGTGTAATGGGTTACAGAAATACACAGAAAATACATCACTTCAACTTTAACCACAATTATCTCAAAAAGTGATTTTGGCCTATTCTCAGAGTGCCTCATATGTACCATGAGAAATATTTGAGCATTTGCAAAAACTTTATATTGTCAAATGTCCTTTTATAATAAGGAAAAGGCCAGGATACACTACCTGGAAATTCAGGATAAATGATATGCTTACAGCATATGGTAGATATTGTGCATTGTGGACTTAAATGAATGAAAGGCAGTAAGTGTGTTAGTTTTAAAGGTAGCATTTGGCTTTGATAGCTGTAATTGTCATCCTGGTAGTTCCTAATTGTTTTTCCTGAGGAATGGGATGATAATTCCATCTTGTGTTTACAGTCTGCAGTCACTAATGAGGTACTGTATATTTTTTTTTTTTTTTTTATTTTGTGTCAAGTGCAGAAGGTATGGAAAATAGTTGTCTTTAGAATGTGTGGAAAATGTTTTGTATTAGTCTTTCCAATATTCTTGTTGAGTTAAGATGTAGATGGATGGTTTGGTTGTTACACTTCATCATTGTCTTAGGGATTATTGCTTCATTCCCATGTAATGTGATAGAGCACTTTGTTTTCTTTTGCTAAATGACGTGGGAGTGAAGCACATGTGGAGCATTTTTCTCCATGTAAATACTGTACAGTATGTCTGTGAATTCACAGAAGGTACGTTAAATTTATCTTACTTTTTTTTATAGGTTATCTTAATATGTAATTATGAACTTGTAATATTTAGATGTATGATTTTTAAAATGGAAATGTTGTTTTTTATAAAAAAAATAAAAACACTTATTAGACTTTATCAACATCTTATAGCATCCTGAAACATGTTTAATGTTTATAAAGTGACTTATGTAACAGATGAATATAATACAGTACAATGTTCTGTCCAATATTTTTATTTTTCATTGCATTGCAATACAGTATATATTACAGGAATTGTTCTGTCTCTGTGATGTCAATACTCTTAATTTATTAGATAGGGCCATCTGGACTAGGTACACCATGCAACTCAGGCTACTCCAAACCTTCTTCCTGCCTTCAAGATACTGTATACTCACAAAAAGATTGCTCATATCTGTCTTAGCCAGTGTTCATAGACCATCTTTTCAAGACTGGGCATCAAAGTCAGGTTCTTCACTCAACAGGTCTGTAAATTTTTTCACCATTATTCTAGTTACATTTGTCCAAAATTGCATAGTTTAGACCAAGCTTGTTGCCAATTTGTTCACTGACAAAAAGCATACTAATTTTATATTGGATTATTCCCTTACCTCAGTAGTCAGGGCTGGATTAGTTTGACAGCCAATCATGCATATGATCTAAATTATCGCTTAAGGGTTTTCATACGTAAATTTGCATATGAATTAAAAAATTACAAAATAATTTTGTTTGCATATGAATGCTAGATATGCAAGATGCACATCTGGCAATGTCGGTGTGATCTGGCACCTATGTAGACTGCCTCCAAGGTTACGTCAGTGACCACACTAGTCTCCCTTTGTGGTTCAACAGCACACGACGTAACCTTGACATATATTTCCCCCCATTTTCTCGTGGCTTGAGCTAATTTCTCGTTCATCACATTTATTAATTACGGTGTTGTGATAGTTTTGAACCATGCCTCGTGTTGCTAGTGAAGGTGGAGGTGTGGGAAAAAGTAAAAAGTACAAGGAGATTGTACCACGTGGTGATAGTGTGGTGCCTCCTGAGGCCTCTTCTAGTTTCCTTGGCCCTTCTAGTGTAAGTGAGGCCCTTCAACAAGCATCCTAGTGTGAAAGGAACTGCCCAACACGTCTTTGTGGCTAGAAGGAAAAATAAAAAAGTGTTGCACATGTGGTATCTCAGCCATCTCGGCATGGCTTACCTCATGACAGCTCATCTCCCTCACAAGTGCGCACTACCCGTACTCCCACTAAAACTAGATTTAGTTGCCTTGTTCAGTACAGCACGGTGGAGGAGGGAATAGGGCAGGAGGGGGAGGATCAGTAAAAAAAGAAATGTATGTAATATTTTATGGATTACATTTAACCAATAATTTATGATTTATTTCATATGAATTTCGAAAATATTAAGCATTTACAGTAAAGCCTCGAATAGCGACGTTAATGTGTCCTCTAATATTGCAGTATAAGGTGAATCGTCTTATCGCAAATGATTAATTACCATTAAAATAGAGCAATAATAATGAGATACATTCCCAAGTGTGACCTTTTCATATCTTTGTGTGGCTTTTTACTCTCTTTTCCCCCAAAAACAATACAATTAATGAAAAATGCATCTATATTCTTAAAATAATGTTTCTGAATGCACTTTATACAATATAAATGAATAATAATATGGTCACACAAGAGGGGATGGGACGCCATTGTTTTCATTTGTGTTTACAGCTGGGAGTCTGGGACGATAGTTCTACACGAGAAAATTAAGAAAATAAAACCCTGGTTATAGCTGTAGTAAAATTAATGTAAAAAAGCGAATATATATGTTTTAAGTAACGCTGTTTAATGTTAATAAATGGAACAATAGAAGTAACTAACCACTAATGGCAAAGAAAAAAAAGAGATGGATTGGGAACGCCAACATATACGTGTGCATTTAAGGCTACCGCGTCATTTATCCTTTTAAGAAATGTACAAAAGATTCATTATTGTTTATTACTGAATATGTATTTGATTGAATTAATCTCTATATATGCGAAATGAACAATACAATTCATTAATAATATGTAGAATATTAAAACACACAAGAGGATAAGAGACGGCATTGTTGTCAGTGTTTACACCCATAATGTCAGTTATCCGCCTGAAACTGAAGAAAATAAGACCCTGGTTGATGATGTAGTAATTCAGTTGCCTCTGAAGATGTCTTGAATATAGACGAAAGCTAAGGTGCACCATTGTTTCCTTTTCCCCCGTGTGATTTTATAATTAACCGCGTAAGACCAGACTAATTATATATATATATATATATATATATATATATATATATATATATATATATATATATATATATATATATATATATATATATATATATATATATATATATATATATATATATATACACACACTGACCCCGACTTACGACGGGGTTAGGGACCCAAATCCAGGTCGTAAGTCCGACATGGTCGTAAGTCCGACATAGATAAAAAAAAAAAAAATTTTTTTTTAATAAAAATCTACAATGAAATACAGTACAGTAAAAGTAATGAATAATGATGAATGGATACAGTACAGTGAAAGTAATAAATAATAAGGAATGGATACAGTGTGACTGAGCACTTAACCTTTAATGTAGTCAGCTGAATGCACTTGGGGCCCCATAATTTTCTAATTATACATGGGAACTACATTAACTGGAAACGTTTCAGTATAGAAAATGCATGTGTCATTTAAATTTTTTTATTTTATTTATTTTTTATTTTTTTTTATATCTGAAGTTCGTAAGTCCCGACGGTCGTAAATCCATGAGTAAATAAGAGTGGGAGTTCTGGGATATATATATATATATATATATATATATATATATATATATATATATATATATATATATATATATATATATATATATATATATATATATATATATATATATATATATATATATATATATATATATATAGACACACAGAGAGAGAGAGAGTAGTTACGATTTAGCGATTTATGCGGTCAATTGAACCCACAGGGTACCGGGAAAGTGAAAACTGCATAAAGTGAACAACAGAACATATGATTAATTCCAATAGAGACTGGCCCGACCCCCAAACTCCACTTTCCCGACAATACCTATGTTGTAGTAAAAATAACATCTGAATTTTATGATGGTATGCTCACACAATTAATATTTAAGAGAAATACAGTCGCCAGGTTAATGTCCATTCAAATAATGGACTCAAATCCCTCCTCTTCCCAGCTCACTAGCTCCTACCTCTTTGATAAATGTGTGGGTGAAAACTCTAGATTTTAACATTTAGTAATAAATAATACCTCAGACTAAAGTTAGGATAATATAATTGACATTTCTGGTTTCCTTGCAGGTCAGGGAATATTTTGAATGTAAACTTCATATATTTTGCACAAAAGATAAAATATTTGCTTTGTGTAAACCAAATTATTACTTTAGATCTAAAATTTGTACGTCTAATGCAAAATCCATGATGTTTATATTCAAAATGATCATCATATTGTAGGAATTCCAGCCATGTAAATTATATTCTGGCCGGGTAATTTGTATGAATTTTATGAGCTAAAACATATATCTTCAGTAAATAAACAAAGAAATATTCTTCAAGGACACTATCTGTCGATCAAAATACTCCGCCCTAGCTGGGTCAGTCCGTCCCTCCCTCCCTCCCTCCCTACCAGAGAAGCGATTGGGAGAAAATAGTATATTTAAATTTTTAGTAATAAATAATCACTCAGACTAAAGTTAGGATAATATAATTGACATTTCTGGATTCCTTGCAGGTCGGGGAATATTTTGAATGTAAACTTCATATATTCTGCACAAAGGATAAAATATTTGCTTTGTGTAAACCAAATTATTACATAAGATCTAAAATATGTATGTCTAATGCAAAATCCATGATGTTTATATTCAAAATGATCATCATATTGTAAGAATTCCAGCCATGTAAATTATATCCTGGTCGAGTAATTTGTATGAATTTTATGAGCTAAATAAAAAAAAAATTATACTTCACTGAGTATATGAGTAGATGCACTGCGGAAAGTGAAAGTCTGGTTCTGGCAAGGTACCGCGTAAAGTGAAACCGAGATGAAATCGCGGAAAGTGAAACCGTGTAAAGCGGGTAATACTGTGTGTGTGTGTGTGTATATATATATATTAATTATATATATATATATATATATATATATATATATATATATATATATATATATATATATATATATATATATATATATATATATATATATATATATATATATATATATATATACACACAGTTGTACCCCACTTAACGCGGTCAATAGAACCCAGAGGGTCCCGCGTTAAGTGAACAACAGAACATATGGGATTTTTATTCCAATAGAAACCAGCCCGACCCCCAAACTCCACTTTTTGAAGACACATAACTATGTTGTAGTAAAAATAACATCTTAATTTAGCCCGACCCCCAAACTCCACTTTTTGAAGACACATAACTATGTTGTAGTAAAAATAACATCTTAATTTTATGATGGTACATGCACACAATTAATACTTAAGAGAAATAGAGAAATACAGTCGCCAAGTTAATGTCCATTCAAATAATGGACTCAACTCCCTCCCCCTCTTCTCACACTACACTGCTGGCTCTTCCCTCTCTGAGAAATTTTTGGGGGAAAACCACTAAATTTTAATAAATAATACCTCAAACTAAAGTTATGATAATACAATTGACATTGCTGGATTCCTTGTAAGACCAGGAATATTTTTAATATAAATGTCATATATTTTGCACAAAAGATAACATATTTACTCAGAGAAAACATTTTATCTAAAATTTGTATGTCTAATGCAAAATATATGATGTTTATATTCAAAATGATCACCAAATTATAAGAATTCCAGCAATGTTAATTATATTCTGGCTGGGTAATTTGTATGAATTTTATGAGCTAAAACAAATATCTTCAGTTAATAAAAAAAAAAATATTCTTCACGACACTATCTGTCAATCAAAGTACCCCACCTTGCCTCCCCCCTCTTCCAACCGCGCGGTCAGTCCCAACCCTCCCCCCCACCTCCCCACCAATCCTCCCTTCAAGAGAAAGAGTGGGTGAAAAAAATAAATTTTAACATTTTGTATTAAATAATACCTCAGATTAAAGTTAGGATAATATAATTGACATTGCTGGATTCCTTGTAAGACCAGGAATATTTTGAATATAAATGTCATATATTTTGCACAAAAGATAACATACTTACTCAGAGAACATTTTATCTAAAAATTTGTATGTCTAATGCAAAATATATGATGTTTATATTCAAAATGATCATCAAATTATAAGAATTCCAGCAATGTAAATTATATTCTGACCGGGTAATTTGTATGAATTTTATGAGCTAAAACAAATATCTTCAGTTAATAAAAAAAAAAATATTCTTCACGGGTAACAGATGGTCGGTCGGTCCCTCCCTCCCCCCACCCCCCACCAACCGTCCCAAGGAGATGTGTGGGAAAACCAGAATATTTAACTTTTTAGTAATAAATAATACCTCAAACTAAAGTTAGGATAATATAATTGACATTGCTGGATTCCTTGTAAGACCAGGAATATTTTGAATATAAATGTCATATATTTTGCACAAAAGATAACATTTACTCAGAGAAAACATTTTATCTAAAATTTGTATGTCTAATGCAAAATGTATGATGTTTATATTCAAAATGATCACCAAATTATAAGAATTCCAGCAATGTAAATTATATTCTGGCCGGGTAATTTGTATGAATTTTATGAGCTAAAACAGGCAGGGTGGCGGGTGGGGCAAATCTAAAAATAGCGTCTCGAGCCGGACACTCACCGCGTATATGTGGAAAAAATCCGTGTTAAGTGAAAGTTCAGCTCTGGCGAGGCACCGCGTATATGAAAAAACGCGTTAAGTGAAACCGCGTTAGGCGGGGTAATACTGTGTGTATATATATATATATATATATATATATATATATATATATATATATATATATATATATATATATATATATATATATATATATATATATATATATATATATATATATATATATATATATATATATATATATATATACATACATACATACATACATACAGTGACCCCTCGTTTAACGAACACCTCGGTTAACGTAATTTCGATTAACGAACTGCCTTCCATAAGGATCTTCAATTCGGTTAACGAAAAAAAATTCGGTTAATGAAGTTCTTACGAACCGACCTCAACATGTTTTCGCTTGCACTGACCGGGCAACCACCTTTAGTATCAGTCCGCCAATACATTAATCGGTTCTAGGGCTTAAATTCCTTACTATTTTAGTAAATATCAAGAAGTTTATACTATTCAATAATTTTAAAAGTTTAATATTCAATTTCTTAAATCATTTTAACAATTATTGAACATAATTGAAGGTAAAGTGACTAGTTTAATGCGCGGCATCCAGCCTCTTAACACAGCAAACAGGAGTTAGTCTATCTCTGTTTTCACTGGAGGTAACATCTTGCTTGAGACTCTCTTCAACTAAACGCTTTTTTTCTGTGTTTCCAAACAAATTATTGGTCATTTTGAAATATATTTTACATATTGACAATATATAATGCAGTGCAGTGTTGATTTAAAGAAAATAATCTTGAATTACACACACACACACACACACACACGTGTGTCCGTCCGTCCTTACCTTTTTGTAGTATTGTACTGTTATAGTCTTAAAATTCGGATAAGGACAGTTTTTGGTTGTCCTTTTTTTTTAATAAAGGATAAACAGGTCTCTAAAAGGGACAGGCTGTCCTAGACTTGGCTGCCCTGCACGGCAGCGTCACGCATCCCTCTTACATCAGCTAATCACTAGTACACAGACCATTTCACGTCCCATAATTTTAGCTGTGTTGATTAATGAGTGTTTGTTTTAACATAATACTACAAAAAACAATGTTTTGTTTATTCTAGTTGGGCTGAGGTGCATCTGGGTAGACTCTCAGCCATTTTAGTATTTTGTGCTTTTCTCAAGTACCAAACTAAATTATTCCATTGAAACAACATGCGAATTCATTTTAAAGCGACCTCTCTTGGAACGTATCTTGTGTTATATTGACATTCTACTGTATATATCTTACGGTAACACATACGCATTCATTCATAATTTTAAGTTTATATACTGTACAACATCAACATGAGATTTTGTGAGGTTTCTGAAACAGAGGATAGAGTAACTGGCTTGTGTAAACATCCCATACTTGACCCTATAATATAAAAATTTTTGCTCCCTGCATTCAAAATGCTCTGAATTCCAGAATGTAAGTCACACTCCACTTATCATTCGAGAATGTATGTCGCGGTTATTGGGTTAAGGATCATAGGACCGTCCAGAACAATACTCTGATGGGGAGATCAAGGGGTGAAGCTCACCAGCTTTCAGAATTAAGATTTACTTTCTTGTCAGTGAAATTTTGGTTTCTCATTTAGTATTATGGTCAGCAGTAAAAGAACATATCTTGTGGAAACTTTTAATTGACTAACGCATCATTTGAATTACTGACAACCCTTGTGTTCACCTGTGTGATGTTGGCCATTCAGTTCAATCGCTGGAATTGAAAATTCTTACTTCCCTCAAGTTTTTCCCCTTTTCACCTTCACATTTTGCAACAATATCTTGTAGACTAGTCACTTTGATCCTTGCCATGACTGTTCTCATTTTCAATTTTGCAAATTTGGGCAGGAATTAGTATTAACCTAAATTTCACATCACCAGTCCTTCCTACAATAGTGTCTTCTATATGACATTCCTAATAATGTGCTTCAGTTTGTGTAATTAGGACTAAAGGCACCTACATTTGAAGTCCTTGGGATAACAAATACCAAGCTCATCACAGGATTTCATAAAAATGCTACATTCACTAGTCAATTACACCACCGTTTTGTGTTTAATGTGTATTATTGTATTAGGAGTACAGCTCCTCCCCGACTTACGACGGGGTTTGGGACCCAAATCCAGGTCGTAAGTCGAAAATGCTTAAATAATACATAGAAAATAAAAAATGGGTGTCTCTTTTTCTTCTCAGCACCACAAAACTCCCACTTTAAGCTTGCCAGCCATTTTAAAGTGAATTACAAACGAAAATTTTGTCAGTACACAGCACAATCACTGACGTTGGGATTCAAAAATACATAATTTGACAAAATTTTGGTACGACTGAGGCGGTTGTATGGGCGGGTGGTCGTAAGTCGAGTAGGTCGTAAGTCGAGGAGGAGCTGTGTATATTTTGAAGATATAGTAATCTCTGTTAGCCCGAATCCCTCTTAACTGGAACTTTCCTATAGCCGGAATTGAAAGTTTCTCGGAAAATCGTTCTCAAAGCTGGAATTTTCTGGAAAATTACGGCTTTGGGAACGATTTTCTTTGGCACATTTTCTGGAAAATTCCAAGAAAATTTTCCCAGTACATAGTACCAGGAAAATTTTGGGGATGGGGGGGGGGTTCCGGGTTTGAGAGATGAAAATCGGGCAAATTTTCCAGAAATTCCGAGAAAATTTTTCCGGTAACCAGAAAATTCCGAGGATGGGGGATTTTTTCCGGGCTTGAGAGATGATGTAATACGTAATTTCTGGAACTTCCAAGATCATTTTCCGTTACCAGGAAAATTCCGGGGATGAGGGATTTTTACTGGTTTTGAGAGTTGTCTCTTTACCTGGAAATCTCTCATTCCCGGAAGTGCTCTGCACCAATTGCTCTGGCTAACGGAGATATCACTGCAAGAGTAACAGTTGTTGGGGAGGCATTTACCAAGGTATGTATCTACAGAACTGACTTCTATAGGGAGCATGTATACTGTATTTAAAATCCTTGTCTGGGAGGTTTCCGTTACGAATAACAAGTTTGTGCAAAGCCATTACATTTTGTCATGTAAGGCTTATGCACCTTAAATTTATTCTCATACCATTTTATTTTTATTTTGGTTTTGGATAAAGAAAAACAGTATAACTGCATGATATCTGTATTTGGTGGGTTACACAAAGTTTTGCTCTTGGAGCGGGTGATGGAGGGGATGTGTCGAGCTTTGCTGGACACAGGACGACTTCTTACAGGTTAACAACAACAACAGCAGGGCAGAGAACGTGTCTCAGTGTTAGTGCCACACTTGGGTCATGATAACTCTGTCACAGCTGCTAGCATGGCTCATATGCTCAGGTTAATGGGTCATACCAAACAAACTACCATTCAATTAAGAATTCGACAGCCACACACCACTGCTAGTCTTTTACACTGTTGAGCACAGCATGTGCCATGATGCATCATGGTCACACAAAAGATGTATTAGTTGCCTTGGTACATGGTGCAGGTGCCTGTCTTGTAATTACTGTAGTTTGGCTACCTGCCTCCTTAAAGTGTGCAGGTCCCTATTGCTGCTACTGTAAGTCTGGCTGCTTGCCTTCCTAAGTACATGGTGCAGATACTCATCTTACAGTTTCTGTAGTCTAGCATTCTACCTCCCTTAACATCAGTTACTATTGGCTGTTTCTATGTCTTCATAAAGAAATGCTGAATTATAAGTGGTAATGTGGCAGGTCTCTTTTACTAGTAGTGCAGATGCTGACTGCAGTTACTATAATATGATTTCCTGCCTCTGTGCACACATGTTCCTAAGAAGGGGTCATTACCCTGATACAAGTGGACAGTATAAGGTTTGGAAGGAAGGACTCTACACTACTTTGAGAATAGCTACCAGGTATTAATGACAAGCACATGGGAGTTATTACACCAGGAGTACTGTAGGTGTTAAATTGGTACACCAAACTTACTTGGGTCTGAAACTGCATGTTCCAGTTCTGAAGCGGAGGTAACATCGAAGAAGAAAAAACAAAAATAAAAAAACAAAACAAAAAAAACAGCAGACAAATGCTGTTGTGTGAACTTACTTCTGGATACTTTTCACAGTAATGTGACACTGTAACTGGCATATAAGCACTTGAACCTAATTGTATTATCCTAAAAATGCCGAAACACACCAATACCAAAAACTCTTGTTGTGTTCTATTTTCTTGAGACTATGGGATGAATTTCTATGCTTGTAAGCAGAGAAACACTTGTAACATGCAATCTTCTACATAACCAAAGTATGCAGTAATTTGAGCTGTAGCAAAAGAAGCTGAGCCTTCCAGCAGTTTTCTGAACTTGAGTCTGTACTTTATCTTCTCTAAAACAACTGCACGTCTCCTTCAATACAGTATAAGTTTTAATAAACAAATTGAACAAACTACCAAACTGCTGTACTTGAATGCCATATAGGAACAAAGTTGCAACATATGTGAAGAGAACAGCCAAACCAAGTCTTGGTACCAACATCACTAAGTCCCTTAGCCTGTTCACAAAACAGGTAATGGTAGACTTAGAGAATTATTACCATAAGTATAAAAATGGCTGACTGACTGTCACGAGACTCTAAAAACACACTGTTTGTATCTATTATCTAAATATCAAACAAGACTTCATATTAAGTTAGTGCTGTTGTCAAACATGGCAGACTTGTGGGCATGATTAACACACAGGCATATAGGACGGGGTCGGGGCGTGAACATGCTACCCCAAAACTTGCTACTGGTAATGCTGACGCTCTAGCCACTATATATAGTACAACATCCATAACTGCATATTCAGTTACATGATATTTCTGTTATATGCATGTATCAACAAAGTACAGAATAAAGTCTTTAGCTGCATTGTAAAATATGGATCACAATTGATACTGCCATATGAAAGCAATAAATGACTCCAGTGACACTACTTTAACGACATGTCTGGCCTCTCATTTTTGACTAGAATAATACTTTATCAACACTCTGACAATCGCACAGATATCTACTAATCGTTTGTAAATAATGCCTCATTTTTAGGCAACCGGTTAGTAAAGATTTAATTAGGAGCTCACCTGGGCAAGAAGGGTTACCTGAGCCAAGACCTCAATACAACTTTGGGTTCACACACACACACACACACACACACACACACACACACACACACACACACACTACCAACCTTGGCTGGCTTGACTCGTGTTTCAGGTGACGTATCCAGCCTATTCTCTATATGATGTTACTCTTCCACGCCACAGAGAAATTTATATCATAGACAGTAGATTTTCATTTAATAAAAATATCTAATAAATTTAAAGCAAGATAGCTCCTATAAATCACTAAAGTTGTTCGAAGATTAGTCAAAATACTTCATATCAACTACAGGTATCTAATTAAAAAATATGGTGCAGTTCTTTTCCATCAACTACATTATAGATCTTGCAACTAATTCTTAATTTTAAGTGTTCATATGACACACTACAGCATCTTTGTTTCATGTATTAGCAGGTAAGGACATTGTACTGTATTAAGTCAATTTTTTCCACTTCATTCATTAAAATATCCACCAAGTAACTCACACTAGTGACTGATATCAAAAGAGAATTAATAGTTTCATTTTAAATATTAACACTGATCACAAGCAGGTTTAAAGCACTTGTGGTGCTAAGTGAAGAATGGTCCTCTTGCAAGACCAGCTATGGGCCTCGTATACAATACAGGTACTCCTGTAATATGTTTTAACCAGGTGCCAAATTAATAATCTTGAGAAATTTTTGCTATACATAGTCAACTACAGAAAGTCTTGCAATTCCCCAAACTGAAAACATTATCGTGCATGATGCTCTATGAACAGTGACACAGTGTCTGTGTGGGTGAACAATTTTAAGCCCCGACCCCTTTGCTTCACCATTATGTCACTTAGGCAATGGCTGGTGCTGAGAAGTGTTGAGAAATCCAGTATCACAATGTTTACACGTTGTTGAGGGTTACATTTTGAAGTCTCTTCTTGAGGAGCAGCACATCACTTGTATGAAACCACCATTATAATTCTCCATCACTAATGACTGTTCTGATAGTTAATGGGCAAAATACTGTGCTGTTTGTCAAGAAGTGGATCCCAAACTGTTCCCTTAGACATTTAGGCATATGGTAAAATATACCGTAACAACGAGGGGTATAGACCTACTGTGGGTTTATTATGAAGTGGAAGAGGCAGATGTATGGTCTGGATGTCTAGGTGATGCCTTGGAGGACAAATCTGAAACATCGGTCTAATAGAATGTTACATTTTCAAATGCTAAAATCCTATACCAAATATGTACATACTTTGGAATTAGTAAATAGTCACACTTGGTGACCACTGAAAAAAAAAAATTACATTTGTATACCATTTCCTGATGAACAAATACAAAAGCTTTTCATTAATGTTTAACCATGCTAATAATCAATAAACTAACAATAATATACCTCCAAAAGAGCTGTTACAGATTTGTTCTCCAAGTTGCTATTAAAGGAAGGATGAATCACTGGGGAACCTGAGCAAATTGCTTTTCCCGATGGATGTCAGGCCAGAATGCTTCATAACTTCAAGGTGAAGGTTACACACTTGAGCATCCTTCTTTCATTGTCTAATAATGGTTCATGAGTCGCCAAAGTACAGTATTATCCAGCACCCATTTAACCTAGCATTAATCTAAAACACCATTTTTTCTTTGATGTAAAGTTATCAAATGGATTTTGTTTAATAGATACAAAAAAGGGGAGTTGGGGTGGAGCATGAAAATATGAATGTGCACTATTAAAGGTTGGGTTAACTGTATACTTAACAATGAAGAAAGCACTCTACAAAATGATAAGTAATTCAGCAGTCACAGGCTGAAGACTAAGGAGTACACCTTTAGGAGTACACCTTAGGGTATGTCTTATGTGAGGCATAGATTTGGTAAAAATTTCAAGGCCTTGTCATTTGAACCTAAAACTAGCCAAGCTGGATTAACTTTTTTCTTCGTTTAATTTTTTTATTTAATACCCAGGACTTCATGAACTACAGTAGCAGGTGCTGAGACTAGTAATTAAATTCTGAGTTTCAAAGTTTTGCTTCAGAACTGTGACAAATTTTTTTTTTTGAGCACATGAACTACAGTAGCAGGTGCTGAGACTAGTAATTAAATTCTGAATTTCAAAGTTTTGCTTCAGAACTGTGACAAAATTTTTTTTTTGAGCAACAAGTTATATAAAGTGTCAATTTTTTCTAATTTTAATATTTAATGCAAATGTTAACTACTACTGTACTCAAATTTGACTATACAGTATTCTACAATGCTGGTTCAGCCTTTAACAGAAAATATTCTCAATGTCAGTGGATAGTGTCAAACTCCATCCTACAGTTGTCAAGTTCTATTCTTGGCTGACTAACACAGTTAAGTTCTGTTTATATTGATGACATTGTACTGGTAAACCAAGTGTCTAGTTTATATATGATACTCAAGATACTGCTAGTTTCACACAATTTCTCATTAACAATGTATTTTACTGAAAAAAAATTAACAGATTTAATCAAAACAGCCTGAATGCAAAACTCAAAGATGTGACAAGTATAAGTTAGAGAGAATATTTTGTTCCTTTATCATGTACAAAAGATTGTGCATTGTAGGGAATTGAGTGGTCATTATAAGCTCAAATTCTCCAGAATATATATAAAAAATAGTTCTGAACATTACTGGCAACAATAATCAGGTAAAAAGATATGCAGATCCCAACTATTAATCTCACAAGTATAAAAAAAAAATTTTGCACTCAATTAAATTATTGAACATTTCCATCACTTGATAAAAGTTGATATGCAGAACAAAATATAATTCTACAATTGCAAGTGTTCTAGTGACAATGAAATAATTAAGGTTTATTTAAATAATAATTAATATTTTTAATTGTCCTAATTTAGCAACAGTACTATTGATGGGACACCTTGCAGATGGTGGAGATGGCAGTGACAAGGAGCTTACTAATTCCTTCCCCAAAAATTTATGCAACATAAAAACAAAATGGAAAGAGGTAACTATAAAATCCTTAGGAAGAAATTTTAAAGTATTTTAGACAGGGCCAACTCCAATGACTTAAAATATTTGCAAGATATTTCACAGCATATGCCTTTCTTATTCTGAAGAGACAAAATTATGATGTCTTTGGTTGTTTAAGCAAATAATATAAATCAATAAACTACTGTAATTCAATTCTAACAACCAATAATAAATACATATTAGTAAATCAATTTAATTCTACAAGTCAAGTTTTGCAAATATACAAACAGAAAAGTGACAGAGGAACATGGTAACTAGGTCAGCTACCCTTAAACTAGATTCACAGCACTCCAAAATTAGAAGCTATTCAGCAGGACAGAATGATTTCATACACCTCCTAAGTCTTCAAACACATGATCATCAAGACCCCTGCAAGGGTTGATCCGTAAAAATTCTCTTGAGACTGTTGCATTTATAATTATTCTACCTGCATCACTGTGACCACTGTCATTAAACGTTAGTGCTCTATCAATTGGGAAACTTGTATCGTCCTGCACATCACTCGTTGAGGAATTGAGTGAGAGGGGCCCACTGTGTTGGTGGGCAAAGGCAAGGTTACCCTGTAGGGCAGGTGAGGCACTGGCAGTATGAGCCTGGCTAGTTTGGGTCACCTGTGAGCATGCAGGGTAAGTATCACACTCCACATGTGCAGGTGAGCAACAAGTAGGGGAGTGATTAGTGGCTGTTCTGGAATCTTGATCAACACTGACTGGGGGGGTCATTGAGTGGTGGCTGGGCTCTGGGAAAGGCTGTGCTACACTGCTTATGTGATGCTCTGAATCTTGTAAGGTCTGTATTGCACTGCTTGTGTTATGGCTTGGATCAGTCTCTTGTAGACTGGGGTTGTGAATATTGTCGAGAGGTTGAAGGTCAGGGAGGTCCTGGTTGGACAGTGGTGGGTTGGGAGAAGTGGCCTGGGAGGTCTGGGAGGCACGGTCCATCACAGGCTGAGGTACACCGGGGAAGCCTTGCAGGAGGGCTGGTGCAGTGGGAAGGTTATCCTCTAACTCTCCTAGCGAAGGATGAAGCACCTCACTAGGAACACCATTCCCTTCACCTGCAGCTCCAGAGGAAGCACTATCCTCATCAGTAGCAGCAGCAGCTGCAGCTGCCATACATTGCTCAACTCTTTCTGAATAATAATGTGGAGAGCAAAGGTAGTCTTTCAGTCGCTGAGGTAGAGGGAGCTCACTTATCAGATCACGACGAACATGCTTCACGATTACAAACCTGATAAAAAAGACAATTATATTAATGAACAAAACATCAAAATTGGGCATTCAACCTATATGGCTTGCTTTATATATGTACTTTATTTCATTGTCATTTGTAACTCACGTTTACGCATGAAACTACAGTAAAGCCTCGAATAACAACAGTAATGTGTCCTCCAATATTGCAATGTAAGGTGAATCATCATATCGCGAATCATTAATTACCATTAAAATAAAGCAATAATAATGAGATGCATTCCCAAGTGTGACCTTTTCATATTTTTTGTGTGGCTTTTTACCCTCTTTTCCCCCCAAAACAATACAATTAATGAAAATTGCAAACTATATTCTTCAAATAATGTTTCTGAATGCACCTTATGCAAAATAAATGAATAATTTATGGTCACACAAGAGGAGATGGGACGCCATTGTTTTTGTTTGTGTTTACAGCTGGGAGTCTGGGACGATAGTTCTACACGAGAAAATTAAGAAAATAAGACCCTGGTTGTAGTTGTAGTGAACTGAATACCTGTATGTATATTGTAAGTAATGTTATTTAATGTTAATAAATGGAACACTAGAAGTAGCTAACCACTAATGGTAAAGAAATAAAGCAAGACGATTGGGAACGCAAACGTATGAACAGTAAGTGCGTATATGTGAAAACGTATCGTCATTTCTCAACATATGAATATGAAAGCAACACTTATTTACTGTTCATATATGTTTTAAATAATATTGTGCGAGTTTTTACTCAGATGACGAAGTCATCAGGTTCAACTCTGGTTGAAGCTGTAGCTTTCCATAAAGCTGTTGCTGAAACTGTTCCTGAACCTGAAGTTGATGTTGAAGCTGCTTATGATGCTGAAGTTGATGGTTTAGGCCTTAGAATAATAAAGCTGTTGAAAGAACCTTGCACAGCTGTTTTCTTTTTTCATTATATATTTTTATGTAGAGGTCATGTGCGTTTATTTAAATTTTAATGCTTTAATCTGTTAATGGATCCACTTCAGAAAATATGTTCATTGCTTGCTCCATATAATATCCACAGACCTCTCACCTTTTTCATATTGTTTTAACACATCTAGTTTCTTGGCTAAACTTATACACTTTCTATTAGCTTTTGAAACAACACTACCATCACTTGCTCATGTTGAATAGGGATGCAAAAATGCTGCAAGAAGCCCGAGAAAGTTGTCTCATGGTTCCTGTTCAGATGCGTGAAAACAAAGGGACCGCTAAGCTCCGACTGTTGTTTACTGGTGATGCGCATTACCACCCATTAGCGAGGCTGCTTCTTTGCACAAGGCGCTCTTCATTTTTTTTACATATTTTTTTTTTATAATACATATCGGGATTTAGTTATTACAGGTTGTACCTCTCTAGTCCAGCATTCTGTGGTCCGGAAACTCCCGTAGTCCAGAACGATTTTAGTTTGCCTAATAGCCAACATCCCTGATGTAACTCAAATGTAATTTTAGTTACAAAACCATCACTTCACATTGGAAGCAGAATTATGGTAGCATTAAAGGTAAATTAAATAGAATTTTAACCGTATTACTTTTTCTTATTTATTTATTTCCTATCTTTTGTTTTTATGCTTTATGTAGGGTGTTATGTAGGGTGTTTCGGGGTGAATTTCCATGGATCAAAAATTTCCATGGTCCGGCACCGGTCAGGTCCCGAGGTTGCCGGACTAGAGAGGTACAACCTGTATTTACATGAAAATTTAATTTAATTTTATTTTTATTATATTTTGGTCGTAAATACGAATGAAATAAGGACGTAAATTGAATTGGGTCCTAAATTAACTAGGGTCTTAAATATGAAAAGTTGTTGGTCGAACAGTTGTTATCGGAAGCTTTACTGTATTATGTTCATAGAAATGTTTAAAATATATGTGGTATACTGAGTCAAGCAATGCTTGAGAGGCTGCAATAGTTAGGATTAGTAAACTTGATTTTTCTTATTTATTACTGACCATTTATAAGAATATGAAATGACCTACCGACAAAGATGTTGAAGACTCTGAATGTGCTTAAACCGGGACACAGGATGAAGGAGCTGAACCCTCATGGGCCCCAGTACAGGGCGGCGGTGCAAGAAGAACAAATAGCGACCACTGCGAGAATGTTCAACTGCATTCTCTATAAACTCCACGATGGTTTGGCTTTTAAACTTTGTGAACCCACCAAAACTGAAGTTACCTGTAGGAGACACAAGAACCCATCACTTATGTTATTAAAAATAAATAAATAAATAAATTAATTGTTTAACAGAGGAATGTTTGTAAGTGCTAAAAAACTCATTTCTTCCCAGTGATAGACACTGAAAAGCAATATTTTTCATAACTTTGTTAAAGTGTTAGAAATCTTTAAGAAACTTACAATGTTTGTTTCATATGGCACAATTTTTCATAATTTCTTAAGTTGGAATATACAGTATTTTGATTTGAAAAGGGCCCTGGTTCACACAATCCTAGTACATTTAATCAATGTACCAAAGGAAGGAAAATATCACATAATCAGGGACTGATATCTATTTATTACAGTATCCTCAACTAGTATAGGTATACATTTACAATCCACAGCCTTCACACATGACAAATACTTGTATGTTAGCCTTACCTTGGTCATGCTCAATCCTGACATGTCGTATGAAGCCATTGAGCTTAAAGGTGAGAGAGAAGATATAGTGGTGGTCAGAGGAGTCTCTCACTATGAAGGATCCATCTGGTTCATTCGCCAACACCTTCTCTGCTGCCTCCCCACTGATTGGGCCCCAGTACCATCCACACTGAAAATGATTCATGTTAGTGATAACAAAGGCATTGACTGGATTCATGCTCAGGTGCCAATAACAGTTTAAGTACAGACAAATCTTTTAAATAACAATACACATTAGTGAGAAGTGTCTGCTAAGTCATCAATCCATTAAAAGAGGTCATTATAACATGGTGCCTAGAAAGATACATGCCTGACAGTGTTAATTCTCACCATATAAATGTTACTGGACAGCTTCCTTGGGTAACAGTAATGGCTCTGCATATGTCATTAAGGCTTTTTATTGATGAAACGAAAATGTTGTTAACATGAATGTACTGTATTAAAGGTAGAGGAAGCTAAGCCAAGCACTGATTGGTTGAGAGGATGTAAACAAAGAGCTGAAGACATGTTCATTGGTTTTTCATGTTTGATGGAATCTTTTGTTTACTTTTTTGTTTTTTATAATATGATTTTATTCATTAAATTTATATATTTTTTATGTCCATTTGGCAAAAATACACCAGCACATTAGATGAAGCTCCATCATAAGAGGTTTGCGTGTACTCTAATACTACTTGCATTATGTACAACAGAATAATTAATGTATGACATGAAGAAGTCCCTGAGCTGTCGACCAAGAATTATCCCTATCAGTCATGGCACCAATGCAGTAAGTCCGCGCTTAACGTCGTCCCGCTTAACGTTGTTTCGGTACTACATCGCTAAACTTGAGAGACCAAAAATGTGTTTAACGTCCCGGTGATCCAATACAGTGACCCCTCGTTTAACGAACGCCTCGGTTAACGAAATTTCGGTTAACGAACTGCCTTCCATAAGGATCTTCAATTCGGTTAACGAACAAAAATTCGGTTAACGAATTTCTTACGAACCGACCTCAACATGTTTTCGCTTGCACTGACCGGGCAACCAGCTTTAGTATCAGTCCGCCAATACATTAATCGGTTCTAGGGCTTAAATTCCTTACTATTTTAGTAAATATCAAGAAGTTTATACTATTCAATAATTTTAAAAGTTTAATATTCAATTTTTTAGTCATTTTAACAATTATTGAACATAATTGAAGGTAAAGTGACTAGTTTAATGCGCGCATCCAGCCTCTTAACACAGCAAACAGGCGTTAGTCTCTCTCTGTTTTCACTGGAGGTAACATCTTGCTTGAGACTCTCTTCAACTAAACGCTTTTTTCTGTGTTTCCAAGCAAATTATTGGTCATTTTGAAATATATTTTACATATTGACAATATATAATGCAGTGCAGTGTTGATTTAAAGAAAATAATCTTGAATTACACCAAGAGAGCTAAAATTTTATGAGTGAAATGGCGCCATGGGGTGACTTCTCTTCCACCCCAATGCCTTCTCTTCTTCCTTCTCCTCCACCCCCATTCTAAATCCCATCATCATCATCATCATCATCCAGGAGCCTTCTACATACACACCTCAAAGTAAGTGAACTTTTCTACCATTTTTGTTGAATTTAGGAAATTTTCGGTGAGCTGGAACCACCCAAAAACCCATTGAAACAATGGTTTCGGTTAACGAACTTTTCGGTTAACGAACGACCTTCTGGAACGGATTGAGTTCGTTAACCGAGGGGTCACTGTACTAAGTCATTTTGCGTCGTCACAGACTACATTTTACGGTGCATCACCCATCTCTTGCCTGACTGTGCTATGCTCTCTCGGCTTGGCGCAGTCTCAGTGACTCACCACCCTCCTCCTCTCCCACCCTCCTCCGCTCCCACCCTCCTCCTCTGCTCCTGCCATACTCCTCCCTTCCCGCCTCCTCTGCTTCACTACCCACCACACACTCGCTCTATCACCTCTGCCCATGTACAGGTAGTTCTGCTATAACGCGATAATTGTGTTCTTGTAAAATATCGTGTTAGAGAAAATCGCGTAATAGAAATAACAGGGCTTATGGAGAAAATAGGGTTAGGTGCAGATTACTCGAAATCGAAAAAATTTAGTAGTTAGCCTAACACAAAGGATAGCACAGTCTAAATAAATGTTACATTCATATCTAATAATGAAATCATACAGTAAATGTAACACTTTACTTGATGGGGGAGAAGGGTGATTTTGAGGTTGATAAAACCGAGCTTCTCTTCAAGTGTTATATCCTTTCTTTTACGATCATCACCAGGAACTCTATCACCAGAACGCTTCTTGTTGATATTCTTCTTTACTATATTCACAGTTAATACAGTGGGGTATGCTATAACGAACGGATCCTACTACGAATATTCCTATAACGAACGGTTTTACCTATAAAATTGAGAATGCTATAACGAACGAAACTCCTACAACGAACATAATTTAAATTTTTTTTTTCTAATTTATTGTTTTATTATTACAAATATTAATGATATTCTTTATTTCAGGGGTTTAGATGCAGATTTATGCACTTTTTTACAATTTTTACAATTTTATATTATATTTTTCAGTGTTAAGTGGTTGTATTTGGGGGCCTGGAACGGATTAATCCTATAACAAACGAATGCTATAACGAACAAGGTTCTAGAACCAATTAGATTCGTTATAGCATACCCCACAGTACCACAAAATTGGAGAAATAGTAAGCAAAAATCGCGTTATAGCAAACAAGCGTTCGCGTTATACAAATATCGTTCCTAATTCATAAATCGCGTTAGAGCAAATTCGCGTTATCAAAACACGCGTTATAGCAGAACTCACTGTATGCATTATTTTCTATAGAAATGGCAATGATTTTCTGTATATGCAATGTATTTCATGTGGCAAAGGGAGGCTCAAGAACGTAACTCCTGTATTTGATCTATTTCTTAAGGGGAAAATTGATCCGCTTAACGTTGTTTCGTATAACGTCGCATTTTTTGGAATGCAACCTCGACACTAAGCGAGGACTTACTGTATACAGTATTCCCTGGATACTGATACAACAATTCCTGTCAAAGGTTATCTATTACAGTAAAATAATAAAAGGATGTATCTGTTTCACAGCCACAGCTCCGAAAAGGAAGTAGTCAGAAACCTAAAACTTTATGCACATATTACATGGGTCCCAAGGTTGTGCACCTTTGAATTACTATTGACCACAGATCGCGGGTGCTTGTCCCTTCCAGCCATTGCTGCAAAATGGAAGCAGTTAAGAGACCTGAAACTTTACACATATAATACTGTACAGGCAAACCTCGAGATATGATGGGGTTAGGTTCCTGAAAAATATATCGCTGGTGAATTATCGTAAATACGGAGCATTATAACATGGTGTTCAATGGGATACGTTCCCCAAACACAAATGTATCACCGACAAAACAATTCCTACAATACTAATCAATCAAATAACACTCACCGCATCCTAAGAATAAGTTTGATCATCATCACATGTCCCCTTCGAGGCTAAAGGGACTCTTGTAGGTAGAGTGGGGACATCACTCTGACTCCCACACAGCCTCTGGGGAGTTTCATGCTTCGTAACAATGTCAAGCTTCACCACAGAGACACGGTTGTCTTGGATGCCTTGGCCTTCCCAGACATTTTCAAAGTTACACTGCTCACTTTACAGTAAAAAGAAAGAAAGAAAAAAAAACAGAGCAAAAGCACTCGTCACAAAAACAGCAAATGATGATAACAAAAACAATGATAACGGCCAACACTGCTCACATTTTCAAAACAACAGTAACAAAAACACATAAAATATCACTTCAGAGTCACCATAACACAGTTCAATCTAAATGTTAGTGCTGTCCTCTCACTAGATAAGAAAACCCCAAAAAAACACTGATGGTAAGTACAATGTACGATGCTGGCCGATGATCGTGGAGCCATGTGATGGCGGGTTTATGATCGACAAAGAACCAAACTCAGGGCTGTAGTGTGTGGTGGTACGTGGGTAGGCTTACAAGAGATGTCATGCACAGGGTTAAATATTGTTTCCTTAAATGTCACTGAATTGATGTAAAAAATATAATTTGCATTGCTGGAGTCCTTGAAAGACACCGACAAATTTGAGTATATACAACCCGTAGCTTGCACTAGAGATAAAAAAAATCCAACCAATGGATATTGATGACTACTTAATGAATATCGTTAAAGTGAGTTGTTTTAATCATATATAGCGAGATGGTCTGAATTTATAACCATCGTTAAAGTGGAATATTGCATCACGGGATATCATATCTCAAGGTTTACCTGTACAGTATTACCCCGCTTTACACGTTTCCACGTTACCCTGCCGAACACGGAATGCTCACTTTACGCGGTGTGTGTACTCTTTTATGCGGAGAGTGGCTGGCGGTCCTCTCGCGCCGCGCCATTTTTGGATTCAAACCTCCCACCATCCCGCCCTGTTGGGTAAGCGGCGCGAGTAGGTTGCGCAGTGTATGTCTTTATTGCATTATCGGTGACGTCATATGACGTATCGGACTGTGATTGGGCCAAGCATCCTTACCTCCCTCCCCCGCTAGCTGTGATTGGTTTAATGTACTATGACGTGCCCCGCCGCAGGAGCGTTCAAGCCCCTTGACCTACCCGCGCCAGTTACACCCCTTCAGGATACACCGTGTATATCGGTATCTATTGTTCCATAAGAATGGCTTCCACCGGACCACCACCACCACAAAGAAACCTTGCATTACCTGGACCCAGCCGCCCTAAGCCAAAGAAGATACAACGTTCCCTAAGCTACGAAATTAAATACAAGATCATCCAAGAGTTGGAGAAAGGAACAAGACAGGTTGATCTCGCGTGCCAGCATGGTGTTAACGAATCTACGATCCACACAATTAAGAAGGATGCAGCCAAGATAAAGGAGCACATGAACATCACAAAGTCTACAGGTGCTTCTATGATCAAGTATTGCCACAACCAGGTGCTTCTCAAGACGGAGAAATTACTTGTGAGCTACTTGATTCGTCAGGCGCGACGGAACATGGTAGTGGACACGCGCTCAGTTAAGGAGTACACACGTGAACTGTATGCTGCAGTGTCACGTAAGATGGGAATTGCAGAGCCCAAACCCTTCAATGCTTC